TGCTGCCTCGAGATAATACAGGACTTTCAACAGAAGCTATTATTAGTGGGGCGCCTGGGTGGCTCAGTTGGCTAAGCGACGGACTCTTGGTTTCGGCTCAGGTCACGATCTTGCGGTTTGTGGGGTCCAGTTCCAAACTGGGCTCGCGCGGACAGCACGGAGCCTGCTTGGGATTCTGTCTCCCTCTGCCCCTCCCCTGCTTTAGTGCGCCCCCTCCCTCTCTTTCTCAAAATAAATAAATAAACTTAAAAAGAAAAGTTATTATTTTCCAGTCTTCCCGAGAACTAAACAAAGTCTTGTCTAAATTGCTGTAGGAATTTTGGGTTCAGTTAAAGGAAGACTTATTTCATGCTATCAGTGATTCAGCAATCATCCTACCTATTGAGAGAATGTATAAAATTTCTGACTCCACAGGAAGAGTATGTTGTTTTGGACATGCATCTAACTTTCATGAAAGAGGAGAAGATTGGTATCATTTTGTGTCCTATTGGACTAATTACCTGGCTTTCAGATAATTGGAAATAATCTAACATATGGAGAGACTTGAGTGTTTGAATTCCTAATTATTCTTCACTCTCCTTTCCATTGACTTTCTACTTTTCAGTCAAAATCCAGGCCCTAGGTTTTTACTATTACATCCCTTATACCAGCTCTTAAACGCGCAAAGGATTTAACTTTTTGTGTACAAAGAGTGATTTATTCCTTGGAGTTGGAATCTGTCTGGTTCATTTTGATTTTCAAAAAGCATCTTATCATATTTTTTTGAAACAAAAATTGAGCAGGAATTGTTTTACTGTCCCATGAATTTCTCAGATAGTCAATCTTTCTTGACTGTGAATATAAAGAAAGGATTGAGCTTTAAGAATTATCAGTGAATTTCTAGGACAGGCAAAGAAAGCAGATTGGTGGTTGCTTCGGGAGTTGGGGGAAAGAGGGGACTGACTACTTGAGTTTCTTTTGGATAAGAAAAACATTCTAAAATGGATTGTGGTGATGGCTGCACAACTCTGTATGCTACAATTTATTGAATTGTAAAAAAAAAAAAAAATCACTGTATTACATGGTTTTATTTTTTAAAAATACCCTACCTCAAGAAGAAAACAAAACAAAACAAAACAAACGACCATTGAACATTGCCCAGCTCAGAGGAAATATAGGTCAATGATAAAGAGTGAATAGTTTTGAAGAATTATTGCCATAGTAGGAAAATGTTAGGAAAAAAGAATCCAAGGAGCAGAGTTGGTTTACCGTTCAGTCTTAATGTGAGCAAGAATCAATTAACTTTAGTAGGCTGCTTAATTTTCTTAAAAATGTTTCTTACTTTAAGGCAAATCTCCTGTATTAATATCAGTCCTCTTCTTGGTTATTCTACACAAGTACCTTACCCATTCAATTTAATTTAATTTAGCTTCTAACTTAAGAGCTACTTTAAAAAAAAAAAAAAAATCTAGGAGTGCCTGGGTAGCTCAGTTGGTAAAGCAACTGACTGTAGATTTCAGCTCAGGTCTTGATCTCACGGTTTGTGAGTTTGAGCCCTGCACTGGACTCTGTGCTGACAGTACAGAGTCTGCTTAGGATTCTCTCTCTCTTCCCCTCCCCTGCTCTCTCTCTCTCAAAATAAATACATAAACTTTAAAAAATATATAAAATAAACAAATTTAGACTGTTTCAAAATGTTTTCTGCACAAAATAGCTACACAACAAGATACGATTATAAAGGGAAAAGAAGAAAAAAAAAACACCTGTATATGGTTGAATGTTATAATATCCTAGTCTCCTGCCCAGAGGTAAAATTATTATCAGTTATATTAACATAAAATACATTCCAGCAGAGCAAGGCCAACGAATGAGAAAATGTTCTGAGAAACTGGAATTAAAGCCCAAAGGGTCTCCCTACCTTTACTTCATTCTTTCTAATAACGAGAACTGTCCCCCAATACCTCAATTCACATTGCGTGTGAAATGTTTTCACTGCAACTGTTCACCAGAAAAGAAATTACCTCTATCCCTACAGCAGTGTGGAATTTTAAATTAAAGAAATGACTTGTAAATTCCCAGAAATCCCCAAGTGAGATATAATTTAGCTGTTACTGAAGACCAAGGGGACAGCATTCACTTTACTCTAGATTTTTAGAGTAAAAAACCTCAGCAAACATCTCATGTAATTTGTTTTTAGATCATAAAATAAAATTAATGTTAGTCTAGGTCCTAGGCACTTAGATTGGCTTTGTAAATTATTGGCTGACTCATACTCACTACAGTCATCCATTTTATGCCAGCGGCTTTATTAGCAGTACAGGAACACAAAGAAATGGTAAACAAAAGAATCCTTGATTAGTGTGCTAGGTGTTTTCAGATCTCCAGAATCTCCCAACTGTTTGTATGCTTTTCTTTTCCTTAACAATAACCTATGTATATAAAAATGAGCCACTTAATCCCTTGGGTAAACCAAAGCTGAAGGAATGAAAAAAAGATTATTGTTGGTTTTACATGGAGAACTACTAGGAAATTTTACCTAAATTATAAGTGAAACATAGAAATATAGGCAAAGTACAGAAAGACAGATTCCAAATCAATCAAAAGGAAATTTAACTGCACGGTATAGACAAGTTTTCAGAGAAGGGAAATCATGTACTAGAGAGAACATTTCAATGACTATCTTTGATACGAAACTATATATATACATATTCATATATATGTATATAATCTATTCATAATATATGTATATATTATACATGGCACATAGTTTATACACTACATACAACACATACATATATATATTTACTTTTTAAAGGCAATCTCTTGACTGTATATTCTTCTAAACATGTGGGCTATAGATAATTCTGAAAAAATAATAAAGAACAATAATTTTGGGAAAGTTTGGGTCTCTTTTCTCTCTTCTGGTAGGGAAGATGTTCACAAAAACATACTTACTGATGATCTAACTTTTTGCTGTGAGAAGTTAGAGTCATAAAAAATTCCTAACCCTGGGGAAAATAGTATCTCCAGACAACTTACCCTTTTGACTGTACATTCAGTTTTAGGCACAATTAGTTTCCCCAATGACCAATGCTTTACAGAAAACAAGAAAGAATACTCAAAGAAAAATATAGAAGATCGTATATTCAAGGGCAGGGAATTGGTGAATCATCTCTCAAATTAAGAATCTTAGACCACCTGCATCAGTGTCATCTAGCAAGTGGGCTAAAATGCAGAACCATGGGCCCAACCCAAGTATGAATCAGCATTGCTGGGGAAAGGGGTCAGGAATCTGCATATTTCACACATGTACCATGCATCTCTGGTGTATGCTAATTTTGTTTTTGTTTTTTTTTAATTTTTTTTTCAACGTTTTTATTTATTTTTGGGACAGAGAGAGACAGAGCATGAACGGGGGAGGGGCAGAGAGAGAGGGAGACACAGAATCGGAAACAGGCTCCAGGCTCTGAGCCATCAGCCCAGAGCCTGACGCGGGGCTCGAACTCCCATACCGCGAGATCGTGACCTGGCTGAAGTCGGACGCTTAACCGACTGCGCCACCCAGGCGCCCCTGGTGTATGCTAATTTTGAATCACTGCTACATTTCTGCAACATTTAGGAAGCAAAGCAAGCCTCTCATTGTATTTGAGGATGGCACTAGGAAACCAGTGTTTATAAGGTGTTTGTCTTCTGTCAGCCTGGAGCAAGGAGCTGAAGGCAGCAGAGGCAAGGCTGAAAGCAAAGGCAAAGCAGTGTTTTAAACAGAGAAAAGAATTTACCCTTCAAATAGACCCCAAACCCTTATGTAAGAATGTATGGATTTCATCGTACTGAAGAGAGTATGCAAATCTTCCTAAATAGAATGCTACAGATATTAAGAGAGAAAAGTACTATAATTTTCATGTTTCCAAATGGGCATAGGAATGTATAATCACGCTTGAGATTTTAGGTTTCATTTCAAACAGAAATGGGTAAGAAACAAAAATAAAATAAATCAAAACACCCTTATGACCAAGTGCTCTGCAACTCTGGAAAATAAGTTGCTTGTTATTTTTTTCCCAGGGTTATTATTACGATGATAAGTCCCTTTTTTAATAAAAGGGTGAGAGATGTATTTTTTTCCATAACATTCCACCAAGTCCCTTTTTCTCCTCTTGCAGTTTCCAAACAACGCTGAGAAATCATCCATACGCTCAATTCAGTAGGGACAGACAGCATGCTCATATCTAACAGTGCTGTAGATGTAAAGAATTTCCTATATGTCATGAAGGGGTACAAATTCATTTCCACAAGCAAAGATTCAAATGGCTGATTCCCCTTCTGAATCAGAAATCATTGTTTCTTGTTATTTTTATGACAACCCAGCATTTCATTTAATTACATTTTACAGTGCTCACTCACTCACTAGGCATTACTCATCATAATGTCTACCTGTGACAAAATAAAATCCCAAACGAAAACAATAGTCAGAACTACCACCCAAACCACACTGAATAAAACCCAACACACACACTTTCTCTGGTACCAAAATTCACTAGCAGCTATTGCCCGCGATTCTCAATGTTTAATGCTTATTTCAAAACAATTGAAACCAAAGCACAGTTTTTCTTACACATATCTCTAAACAGAGCAGACAAGGGCACCTGGGTGGCTCAGTCAGTCGAGCGTCTGACTCTTGATATGGACTCAGGTCATGATCCCAGGATCGTGCAACGGACAGAGCCCCACGTCAGTCTCCCCACTGAACATGGAACCTGCCTGGGATTCTCTCCCTCTCCCTCTGCCCCTCTCCCACACTCACACACTCTCTCTAAAAATTAAAAAAAAAAATTAATGTCAAGAAACAGATAAATAAAATAAACAGAGCAGATAATCACGTTCCATGCGTCACTACACCCCTCTCCTACCATGACCTATCCATCTTCCCTATCCAGTTTCAACATAAAACCTAGAATAACAGGTAAGAAAATCGATAAAGCTGCTAAGGAAACTGGCACTTGAAGAATGTTTCACAAAACCAATCATTCCCCAAATAAAGTTTATTTTGAAAAGAATACAACATGGTCATATAAACTTAAGTAGGACATATCTAGCAATATTAATGAGTCAAATTATATTACAAGTGAGGTCACGGTTCATGTCTGATTATTCCCACGAATGGAAAGGGGTAGAGGTGCAGCTAAACCAAAGGCAGATGCTTAAAAACGACCATAACCTATTTATATGCTTTCATTTCATGTTTGTGCCTAAAGATTTAGATGAGAATTTATGTAAACTCACATATAAAGAAGTATGCTGCCCAAATAATCACAATTCTTTTTGCTTTGCCTGCTTTACCGGAGATAGCATCGCCAATAACGTCTATACAAGGTGTTACCACGTGACAAGCTCTCTCCTTCCCGACGAACACAGACAGCATAAGGCTTTCTGTATTGTGGTTCATAACTCCTCCGGGTTGAGGAAAATAGCAGTGACAATTTAAGAGTTTTTGACATATAGCTGATTTCATCAGAAAAAAGGTGTTATATATGTTCTTCTCAAGAACTTTATGTTCTGGTGAGGAAAATGTCAACAGATAAGTGGCAAAAGTAGCCTGTATATGATGCAATAATTGTTCATGACTCTCTAAAACAAAACAAAACAAAACAAAACAAAACAAAACAAAACAAAATTTAAAAACCTAGAGGTAAACAAGCATGAAAGGACTAAGAAACATGCCTGGATCTTCTCACAGGACAGGGTTTTTGAGGCAATTCAGTGCTAACCCCAAGACTATTCAATGAAACCAGAGCCTTTCCTAGATCAGGGGAAGAATTCAAAAGTACCTACAACAGCCAGTTCACCATCTTCAGAGGATAAGGAGCCAAAGATAAAAAAAATAAAATAAAATAAAAAAAAAAAACAGAGCTGACTGCTTTGAGAGCAAAGTGAAGAGAGAATCAGGTCCAATGAGTTCAAAGGGAAGTTTTGCTTTTTCACTAGTAGAGGGCAAAACAAACATACTGAACTTGGGGACTGCGATCTGTTTGCACAAGTTAGCTGTTGACCTCGGACAAAGCAATCAATCTCTTTGAAGGATAATGTCCTCATCCAGAAAACAGTTACATTAAGATCCACCAGTTTCCCCCCCCCCCCCCACAGGGCTCAGAGCAATGAGAATCAAAGACAATGATGCACTTGAGTTCACTTTGTAAATGATAAAGAACTACTCTTAGTAAATGGAGATTTGGGAGCTTTTGTAAAGGAAAAGGATAAAAGCCAATTTCAGGTAAAATTATAAAATCATCCATTTTTTTGAAGCAGGACAGATTTTTATGCAATAGTAGCAGCTGTGGATCCATGTCATTTTTTGATGAGCAGAAATGGGAAATTTTCGATTGGCTTACTAATTTCTCTCATGATACAATGTTACTGTAGTATAATACATTAGTAATAGATTTTATTCATTAATAAACCAGGAAGGGTAATCTGCTAGACTTAAACATTGACTAGATACAACTCTCTACCTCAGCAACAATGTTTTGACCCGTTATTATGAAGAGCCAGACACATAAATAATTTGTCCTATTTCTCATTATAGATTATTAGTCACTAGGAACCAAACTTTATAAAACTTAAGTCCTGGGCAGAATGTTTCAATGTATACATATTTATAAGTTATTAACTTTGTTACTCACTTCAGCCTTACACATCTCAGTAGAGCAGTAACTGTTACAAGCCCAAATCAACAACCAGTTTCCTCTTTTCCTTAAGCAGAGACTCAAAGGCAGTTACAGACCCACTGTTTCATTATAACATGAAAATAGTAAGCCTTGGGCTATTGCAAAAGGTTTCTCAAATGTCAGTATCTAACTTGGAGAAAATAGAGGGAAGGAGAAATAGAGGGTGCCGATTTGTTGGGCATGCTTCTGGGTGCAATGTTTTAAAATTACAAGTAAGCAAGTAAACCATAAGGCTTCATATGTGAAAGTGGAAAATAGTTCAGCAGTCTTCCGTTCAAAGACAAATTAATTTTTTTCTTCCCAATAACTCACCAGAAAGAAATGGGCACTTAGGAATCTTAAGGGGTTTTTGAAATAATATTCAGAAAAAAAATATATATATATATATATATAGAACCAGAACAGGAACAGCACATTATTTAAAAATAAGACCTTCTTTTAAAATGGTTGCCCTGTCTTTAAGGATGGATGCCATATAAAATGGGCAGATGTGTCTTTATAACTCATCATGTTTATATGTAAATTCTCTGGCAGATATAAATCCATCTTTGTCTTCATCTTCTTTATCAAAAATATCCTCCACCAAAACATCATGATGACTTTCATTCACCACTGCACCATGCTTTTCAAACTCCTTCTTTAAATATACTTTAACCTACAAAATAATGGGTCTCATTAATAATTCTAATTCATAAGACACCCACACCAAGCCTGTTAATATCACAGAGTGGACTGGTAGTTTACTGGATTATGTACAACAATGACCAACCAACTGCTTTACAATACTATCATTGGATATATTTCCAATGACAGTAATGGAAATTTTTTTTTCTCCTTAAAAACTGTTGCTATACTGCTCCAATATAGACACAGAATATTGCTCAGAGGCAAAGATAAGGTTTAAATCATCCAGTAGGGCACCTGGGTGGCTCACTTGGTTACACGGCCCAGTCTTATTTTGGCTCAGGTCATGATATCCAGGTTCCTGGGATTGAGCCCAGAGTGGGGCTCTATACTGACAGCTCGGAGACCGGAGACTGCTTGGGATTCTCTCTCTCTCCCTCTCTCTCTGCCCCTCCCCCACTCACACTCTTTCAAAATAAATAAATAAACTTAAAAAAAAGAAAAAGAAAAAGAAAAGCACCCAGTGAAAGGATACTACCTGCTCTTAATCTGAGGCTAACTAAAGCCAAGCATTTGAAAAACTGTAGTCTTTCATTCCATTGAATTATCCAGATCTCTAACTAGGGTCAGAATTCCAGGTACTTCTCTCTTAAAATCAGATTAAAGAATGGCATTTAAGGGGCGCCTGGGTGGCGCAGTCGGTTAAGCGTCCGACTTCAGCCAGGTCGCGATCTCGAGGTCCGTGAGTTCGAGCCCCGCGTCAGGCTCTGGGTTGATGGCTCAGAGCCTGGAGCCTGTTTCCGATTCTGTGTCTCCCTCTCTCTCTGCCCCTCCCCCGTTCATGCTCCGTCTCTCTCTGTCCCAAAAATAAATAAACGTTGAAAAAAAATTTTTAAAAAAAATAAAAAATTTATTTAAAAATGTTTTAATTTTTTAAATTCCAGTATAATTTACAGTGTTATACTAATTTCAGATGTACAATATAGTGAGTGATTCAACAAGTCTATACATTACTCAGTGCTCATCATGATAAGTGTGCTCTTTTTTTTTTTTTTTTTTTTAATTTTTTTTTTTCAACGTTTATTTATTTTTGGGACAGAGAGAGACAGAGCATGAACGGGGAAGGGGCAGAGAGAGAGGGAGACACAGGATCGGAAACAGGCTCCAGGCTCTGAGCCATCAGCCCAGAGCCTGACGCGGGGCTCGAACTCACGGACCGTGAGATCGTGACCTGGCTGAAGTCGGACGCTTAACCGACTGCGCCACCCAGGCGCCCCGATAAGTGTGCTCTTAATCCCCTTCACCTATTTCACCCATTGCTCCCACTTGCCTCCCCTCTCCTAATGGCATTTTTTAATTTAAGTAAGTGTCTGGTAATAGTCCACGCTGTGGATCTGGCTATGACCATGGCTCATGACCTCCCAATCTCAGAAATTAAAGCAAAATCCAGCCTGATGAGTGCTTACACTAAAAATTTTCACTCTCATTCAGATATTTAAAGACATAAACAAAATCCTGTTCCCAATTACCTACTAGATTGACCATAATGCAGTTTAACCTGTATTTTCATTTTTAATCAGAGCTCTATTACTCCTTCTGTTAGATCAGTAACTTCAAGTCCTCCTTCCTGCCCCTATCGCCAATATACAAACATATGACATATTTATTTTTAAGATTAAGGAGATTGAATGAAATTGTTAAAAAAAAAAAAAGATGATAAGGCCAGATGGATTAATGTAGAATATATCCCTAGGATATACTGTGAGAATAAAGCAAGATGTCAAATATTATGTATATCATGCTATTTTTTGTGTAAGAAAAGAGGAAACAGGAATATGTATTCATGTTTGCTTGTATTTGCATAAAGAAACACTGGAAAGATACATTAGAAGCTAATAAAACTGGATGTGGAAAGGGACAGATCACATAGTAGAAGAGGATGTGGGTGGGAGAAAAACTTTTTAATAAACACCTTTTTTAATTGGATTGATTTTTTTTTTTTGACGTTTATTTATTTTTGAGACAGAGAGAGAGCATGAACGGGGGAGGGGCAGAGAGAGAGGGAGACACAGAATCGGAAGCAGGCTCCAGGCTCTGAGCCATCGGCCCAGAGCCCGACGTGGGGCTCGAACTCACGGTCCGTGAGATAGTGACCTGAGCTGATGTCGGACGCTTAACCGACTGAGCCACCCAGGCGCCCCTGGATTGATTTTTTTTTTCAATATGCTGTATATTTAAGGTTTTTTTAAATGAAAGGTTACTGAAATTTACCTTGGATAGAAAAAAGTCCTATGACTGGTAATAGTACAAGGTGTTATAAATTTAGTAGCTGTAGATCATGACCCTATGAGTTCATAATAACTTCGCTTATTTAAGACTTAATCATTTCCTGGCCATTAGAATGAAATTGATCGAAACATAAAAAGGGACTTGATTTCTGACCAGCCAAGCCACAATGGAGAATATGGGCAGACAAAAAAAACTGAGTAGCTCTCTACCTCCAATCCTTTCCTCACAACAGCCAGACTAAGACACATACCTGTTGTGAGGTATGGCTGCGAAAGCCTAAATGAATTACAGGGAGAAGACTTCTTCCTTTATCCTTACGCAAACACCAGAACTAAGAGGGGGCTGGGAAAGGTCTTCCGCTCTAGAAAATCCAGACCAGAGTCTCCTTTCTCCAGGTGCTACCCAGAACAAAAGAACCCAGCAGGTGGGCCGTTTGCTGCTAAATGCCAGGAAATTACAACAAAGTGCATTTAACAGCCAGTTGACAGTTTTAAACAGAAACTGTCAACAGGAGATATTTCTCCAGACATCCACATTTCTTATATAGCAACTTCAAAATGGGAATTGTCTTAGCAAAATGGACCTTTCAAAAACTCAGAAAGAGGGAAGGATACAGTAAACCTTAAACATGGTGGGGTAGGGGTGGGGGGAGAGGGAAGCAAAAGAATGAATGCTGTTGAGTCTGAATATATTTCTCTCCAAAACAATGATTTCCTATTTTTAAAAAAGCCAATATTCAAAGCATCAGTATTATAAGAAAACTTATAAACAATATTTTATCCAAACAAAAATAAATTTTCTTTAGAAGTATATTTTTTAATAAGTGAGAAGAAAGAAGCAAACAAAGGAGTAAGAAGAAGGAAAGATCACCTCATCTTTAGAGAGTTTCCAGTCATCATTAAGATCCATTTCTTGGAATGACTCATGGGATCTTGGTCCATTTCGAATCTCCAGGAGATCAATGTTGAATATCAGTGTACTCTCTGGGGGAATTTTACCTGACATGAAGAGAGACGGAGGTTAACTTTTACTTAAACAATCCCAAAGTTTTGATGACAGGAAACTTATGACACTGAACAAAATATTCTTTTGATTGAATTCAATGAAGAGCCTTCCTAAGGCTATCACATATGATGTAAATTACTCAAACAAATAGAATAGCAAAGGAATAATCCAAACTGGTAGATCAAAAGCAGTCTGTGTTTGGCTTTGCAATTACAAACTGTTTCGTGCACACAAACACACACGTACATACAGATGTGCCTAATGGCCTGGTATTAAATTTCAAATATGATTAAGATATTATATATTACATGTCAAGAATGACTTAAAGGGCTGTAGATAATTCAGAGTTAATTATAGTACAAGTGATTTAACTAACTTTGGGGGGGTGGGGGGGTGCACAAAAGTCCTGACCTAGATATACATAGACTAGTAGCATTTCTACCACTAGGAGGCAGTATCTAACTGAGAGAGATCTGGTGTCCCACGAGCCGGTATTAAAGCTTAAACTTGCCCCTCTTTAAGCCTATTTCCTCATTTATAGAATGCATTTATAAAATGCAGAATCTGTTGGGAAGATGGAGGAAAATAAAGCTATGTAAAATATTTAGCATTCTGCTTCATAAGTAGTACGCTCTCAATGGATTACTAAAACATAATTCTCTTATAAGCTTTAAAAACGATACAGAAAGGTTCAACAATTTCAGACTTGGGAAACACCTCCTCTGATATAGAACATATATATAATTATATACATATTCTGAAGAAATTTCATGAGAGAGAAGAAATTAAAACAAATTTCTGAGAAGGGAGATAAAAATCTTTTAAAACATGAAAAGAGCTCTATTAAAAGTCCCAAGGGCCTTTTCAAAAAAATACTTTCTGGGCAGTATGAACAATTTGTTTTTTCAATTTGTTTCCTTATAACTGTATTTAACATAAAGGTCTGGGTAAACATTACAAATATTTCTTAGTCCCCCACCCCCCATCCAAATCCCACATATTTCTGTCAAAGAGCATTTGTTAAGTATTAAAGAGAACAAAACTTACACTCTGTGCCCAAGCTTACCATTCCAGATCTAGACAGAGAAGGGGCATGCACTAGGTCGTTGATAAAACTGGTGTCTTTCCAAAGGAGACATGCAAACGTGGTACCAAATGACTACAAAATTAGTGTTAAATACACATTAGCAGAATTTAGTTTCATGGCTCTCAGTCTGGACGAAATGACTCAAATTTAGAACTCTGCTTGTCCTACAGTAAAATTGAGTTAAATACAGTATGGAGTAAGAGTAATGGATTAATTCTACATATACATTAAAGGTGAGGCAATAAAGATACAGCAGGAAGATGATGAACATCAGAGAAACATTTTCTAGATACCTGATTTTCTTCTCTAAGGAGATGATTATCATAATAATTGAATTTGGTTAGTAAATTCCATTCTATGCATAAGATTTATATAGCAAGTTCCATTTTAGAATATAATGTTACAAGGGCACCTGGGTGGCTCAGTTGGTTAAGCATCTGACTTCGGCTCAGGTCATGATCTCACGGCTCATGAGTTCGAGCCCCTCCTCGGGCTCTGTGCTGACAGCTCAGAGCCTAGAGCCTGCTTCATATTCTACGTCTCCCTCTCTCTCTGCCCCTCCCCCGCTCATGCTGTCTCTCTCTGTCTCTCAAAAATAAATAAACATTAAAAAAAAAGAATATAATGTTACACATATGGCATTTACTTTCTTCTCTGGAAACTGGGGTTAGGATTCTCACTTTGTAACTGGTTAAGTTTAGACCTAAGGATACTGTGAAGTCTGTTATTGCTACAGTATCAGAGTGGTTCCCTGTCTGGTTCTGGTGACTACTTAATACATTTTTTTCTTCATTATGTAATATATGCCCATTGTAGAGAATTTGGAAGAGACAGAACCAGAAATAAAAATAATTCCGACCCATCCATTGTTATCATTCTTAATTATTTCCTTGTAATTCACTCTGTGTGTGTATATACTTTTTTCTAATACTTACTCTTGGATATAGTATAGCTTTATTTTCCACTTTTGTATATAACATTATATCTTACCCATTTGGATATAATTTTTTTAATCCTTGAAATGCCATTTTTTAATAACTGGGCCATATTTTAGTTAACCCTTCTCATTACACATTGAAGTTGATTTCAATATTTTTGCTATTAGAAACAATGTAGTGGGGCACCTGAGTAGTCCAGTCCGTCAAGCTTCAGACTCTGGCTCGGGTCATGAACTTGCCCTGTGAGTTTGAACCCTGCATGGGGCTCGCTGCTGTCCCCACAGAGCCAACTTCACCAACTTCAGATCCTCTGTCCCTCTGTCTCTGCCCCTCCCCTGCTTCTACGCGCTCTCTCTCTCTCTCTCAAAAATAAACATTTTAAAACAATGTAGCAATGGACATGCCTGTCCACAAATATTTCTCCTGATACCTGATTATTCCCTTAGGTTAAATTAGAAAGGAAATATATCTTGTGCAGGAAACGTCATCTGGCCTCTTGTAAATAGCCCTTTGGAAAGCTGCGTGGGTCCCCACTCACACAGCAGGTGTACATCCTGGAACAAACTAGCACAAAGTCTCCTGGAATCAGCTAGCCTATTTGCTTCTATTTTATAACACTCATTTCATGTCACTCCATCAGGTTTTATAAGTGAATTATAACAACAGTTATAAAACAACTTTAACACAAGAATGAAAACAACCCCCCAAAAAAAGCTTTGTTAAAGAAAACTTCAGTTGTGAGCCCCCTGCAGCCCACATCTAAACCCCATTTAATACCTGAATAATCTATATTTCACATGTTCAACTCATCGAAACACTTATGTGGAATAATCTTTCTTTTTGGTGTTAAAATAAATTGATGAGTTTCAGCTGGGGAGGATGAAAATTTTCTGAAACTGGATAGTGGTGATGCTTGTACAACAGTGTGAATGTTCATAATGCCATTGAATCGTACAGTTAAAAGTGGTTAGAATAGGAACCATTATTTTGTAAGTATTGTGCCATAATTTTTTAAAAACCATTCTTTTGGTTAATATGGAGGTAAATGTTAATGATAGAGTTAAAGGTTCCAGAACTTTGTATCAGTAGTTCAATTGACCATTAAGATAGAATGGCTTTAATTTGGCCATCTCAAATGATAATCAAGATGCAATCATACTTAAAAAATAAATAAATAATACACATCTTCTACTCCTGGGGGAAAAATACATACTAGTTACGCTGACTTCTGTCTCCTAATCCAGAGAAGAACCCCAATGCTGTAGTAAAAATGTGAAATTGTTATTACCTTTTCCTTCTTTTCCATAGCCCAGGGCAGGAGGAATTGTGAGCTTTCTCTTCTCTCCTACACACATTCCCTTCAAGCCCTGGTCCCAACCTTTGAGAGCCTCCAGGATGCCCAAGGTAAACCAAATGGGCTGACCATTGTTATGTTTGTGACTACAATAGAAAGAAAACATATTAGAACTCTTCAGTAACTTTATTTTTTTATTGATGTGGGAGCACTTTATTCTACCAATAAGTGATTCAGTTTGGGAATTAACAAAAACAGCTATACACATACACACAAAACCAGGTTAATTTTGTAATAATTTAATCCAATGCCCCTATTTCTTGATGCAAATTTCATTACAATTGAATCAAGTAGAGAAGGGCAGAGGGAATAATAATAAAAACAGTGAATAATTATTTGAGATTTACTGTGTACCAGGTATTACCCCAAATTATTTGCCTCTTTTAACTCCGTGAGAATGATCATATGAGGTAAGTACCATCATTTCCCCATTGTACAGAGGAGGAAACTGAGGTTAAATGTGCTGGTATTTGATCTAACTCCAAACTTCAAGGTCTTAACCACAGCGATGCTGTCCCAGGAACGTCATCCCGGGCAGAAGAGGGAGAAAATCATGGAAAATGGGTGAATTTGGGAAGAAAGAGAAGTTAAGGAGAAGTTACTGCCAAGACAAGTGGGTCCACACCCACATGGACACTGGAGAGTCAGGAGCACAGCATCTTCTAGTCTGCCTACAAGCCCTGCTGATGTACAGTCTCGCGATGGCTCTGACAGGTGGAAACGGCTGCTCTTCAACCCGAACCCCACCTAGATGCTTCCTGCAGGCATTTTCTGTGGGGCTGTGCAGGGAAACCTGGGGGAGTTGTCCCTCAAGGACTGAGGAAGAAGGAAATGATCCAAATATCCTGGCTTAGGACCTGGAGAGAGGCCAGCCTAAGAAACCCAGCCTGCCAAGCTACTGGGGGGCCTGAGGGCTGAATAGCACCTGAGCCCCAGTTCGCTCCTTTTTGGTACATACGGAAAGTATTCTCAAGGATATCGTATAGGTGAGAATGAGAAATCACTCTACTAGGTTTCATGGACACCATGGTTAATTACTAAATCTAGGTAAAAGCCATTACTTCCTCTTTTCTTAATTTCCCCCTATGACTAAAGAAACAAATTGCCAACTGTAGAACACTTGGGAAGGCTGGAAAAGAATAAAGAAGGAAGTGGGGTGCCTGGGTGGCGCAGTCGGTTAAGCGTCCGACTTCAGCCAGGTCACGATCTCGCGGTCCGTGAGTTCGAGCCCCGCGTCGGGCTCTGGGCTGATGGCTCAGAGCCTGGAGCCTGCTTCCCATTCTGTGTCTCCCTCTCTCTCTGCCCCTTCCCCGTTCATGCTCTGTCTCTCTCTGTCCCCAAAATAAATAAACGTTGAAAAAAAAATTTTAAAGAAAGAATAAAGAAGGAAGAAAACAATCTGCCACCCAGTGCTGACTACAGTTTTGGTACATTTCTTGTCACAGCTAAAGGATTTAAGCTATTTACCACACAGGCTATTATTCTAGACATGGCAAACATGCTTTACAACAGATCACTTGACGGTACTGCTTCATAAAACTCAGGGTAAGTAGTTCCTGACCATTTACACTGAGGCCGCATGACAACCGTCCCCTCATCAGGTACCAGAACTTTATTTATTTATCTTTTTAATGTTTATTTCTTTTGAGAGAGAGAGGGAGAGACAGAGTATGAGTGGAGAGCAGAGAGCAGAGGGAGACACAGAATCCGAAGCAGGCTCCAGGCTTTGAGCCGTCCGCACAGAGTCCAACGTGGGGCCAAAACCCACAAACCCGCAAGATCGTGACCTGAGCCGAAGTCAGACATTTAACCGACTGAGCCACCCAGGCGCCCCCCTGCTTTTTTTTAATGGGTACTAGAACTTTAGTAGCAAACTGCTAAATAATGTTGTATGGCTACCACCAAAGGCCAATAGGTTTTTCATTCTGAGACCTGAAAGACATCAGGCTGTATCTAAAAGAGATCAGACTAAAAATAAAGATGCAGTTGAAAATTTTAAATGCAAACCTTAATCTTGTTTAACATCTACTGTGGCACTGGCCTTGTTGCTAAGAAGATGGAGCTGTTGAGAATTCTACGGCAAGCCACTGTTTCAGAAATTTTTGCAAAGGCTAACAGAGTTCAAAGAAGAACGCCATTCATTTCTCCAAAACCTGACAGACCAGGTCTGAATGCTCCATAAAGGCAGTTCATCCGAAAATGAGGTCTAGGATGGGCCACAAAGCTTCACTACTTTGGTTCATGCCATTTTCTCTACCTGGAATGTCCTCCTTGCCCCCATTCTCCACCTGGAAGGAACCCTCCACCCATCTTTCGAGACCCATCTCAATTATGATCTCTGGGAAGTCTTTCTCTTACCCCACCCCCAGAGCATCATTAATGCCAGACTCCATTATGCTTTGCAAACACTTTGAACACTCTGTACTACATAGCATGAGCTATTTACTTGTCGTCCTCCTTCCTGTAGATGATGTACTGCTGGAGGACAGGAGCCCACTCTTAAGTCACCTTTGCATCCTCAAGGCCTGACTTGTGATCACTCATGAAGGGTTTGTTAGATGGACAGATAAATGAATGGACAAGGATGGAGAAGCCAAAAAGTTTTAATCTCCCTAGTCTCAAGCACAGGGCCTAACATAAAAGAAATGCTCAATAAATAATCTTGGAATGGAATGAAGAGAATCAATGCCTAATCAGAAATCATTACCCTTGTAAAACATCCATGGTGCAATTTCTTTGTTCGTATAGAACAGAAATAATGATAGTGTAACCACCTGAAAATCATTCACTATAGTTATTGGATTAATCTTTCAAGGCCATAACCATACCCATCAATGAAATCTTTGAATTTCTAGAAAGAATAAAATAATGAAACAAATCATGGTACTATACCTTGACCAAAATGTCATTTGTACGAACAAAAATTAAACAGATCGATAGGCTAGCATTAGCATACCCTACAACAAGCAAATAAATGATTGTGTATTCTGCCCATGAAGTCCCTGCGAAAAATTTTAAGTAAATTTCACCTACACCAAATTCAAAATGGAATTGAGTCATTTTCCCTCGGGAATGGAGTTTGGGAAATGAAATTCCTTTACAGTTTTTTTCTACTTATTGCCTAATTACACACCTAGATACTTCTGCAATATGTCAAAGATTCTAGTTCTAATTTTTATAGTAAAAATTAACCTTTATCCTTACCACACGTTTCCAAGTTCCAAGGAACTTCAAAGGCACCGTTATTGTCTTTATTGTTTTTAAACAAATTGTTTGTCTTGATTGTCTTTAAACAATTTCCTTTCCCAAAGAAGGAAATAACAGATTTCAATTTTTCAAAAGAGAAGTGAAACCTGATACAGGCTACCTTTCCTGCCAGAGAGCTCGCACAGGTCGATGGGTTCTTCACTATTTTACCTGCGAGGTGTAATTACTTACGTGGAGTGAAATAAGGAGCCATCCTTTTCTAAGTAGCCTTCATAGTGGACCAACATCAAATCTCCCCCTTTGGTCTTGCGATGGCAGATGAACGGCTTCTGGAGCACCTCAATCTTCACTTCTGGTTCAGGGATCAGAGCCCCACTCAAAGAAGTGACCAACAACGTCAGCACCGCGTTCCACAAAAAAAGCCTCATGCTGCTGGCGCAGGAAAGTTCCTACAAAAACAGAGAAAGGGCCCCCGACCTCATAGAACTAAGAAAGTATTTGAAGGCTTCAAGACAACGGCCTTTGGCAAGTTCATGACTACCGCTTCCCAGCAGACGTGGCACACTTACTACGACAACTTTCCCACATAATGCGAACCCGCCTCTAAAGCGTTAAACCCCAAACCCGGGCCTGACTGGCTCTCACAGGTTGGCTCTTGGGAACGATGGCTCCCCATTGGCTAGCAGTGCAGTCCGCCGGAGCCTCTCAAGCCAATGATGCTGCAATAATTACAGCTGGGCGGAGCCAGGACTTGGTCAGGCCGCGAAGCACAGGGAGGGGCCCTAGAGAAAGGCGGATTAAAGAATTCCACAACCTTGGACTTTGGGAGATTTCTGGGGAACGCAGCTAACCGGAAACTCCTCCGGCAGATTTACAGCTGTGAAGTTCCCCGGCTGAGCGTGCTGAGCCCCCAGGCTAAGTGAAAAGATAGCGGTATCCGGAAAGGCCTGTTTACTCTTGCGCACGCTGAGAGGTTACTCCCCGCCCCTAGGAGTCCACAATCCTGTATTGTTACTTAACTTACAGTATAAACGATAAAGGCTTAAATATTTCTGTAGGGTTCGCAAAGCGCATTCCCGTTGCGTAAACCTCACTACACTGCCAGTAAGGCAGGTTCTTTAATCCCATTTAAATGATAAATGTATCTGGGCAAGGAGAGGTTAAGGGTCCTGCTTAAAATTGTTCAGCCCCAAAGCATTTGAGCTCCGCCTTCAAACCCGGTCTTCTGATTCATTCTACAACACCGCATAATGTTACGGCTGCTAACAGTTTATCTCTTAGTGACTTTAATGTAGAAGGTAAATAATAGCTTCTATCGAGGAGACGGACGTGCAGACCTCCACTTTATAGAAGAAACAGTAATCACAGTTACGAGTTACACTGGCTTATCTTAGCTTAAAATTATTAGCTTTACATTTTTCGCCTAATTTCAAAAGCAACACATGTTCATTACAGTCGATTTGGAAGAAACTGGAAAGCACGAAAGTAGGTTTTCCAGTTAAAATAAAAGAGCCGAATTAAACATGAATTTCAGATAAACAACGAATCCGTTGTTCTGTATTTTTGCTAAATCTGGCAATCTTATGCCAAAGAAAAAGAGATCGCCTATAGCGCCACCATCTACAAATAATCATCTTAACATTTTGGTTCATGCTTCTGTGACATAGGCTTAAAAGAAATTAGATCAGATTGTACACTTTCTTTCATAACATGCTCTTTCCACTTAATCTATCGCTAACATTTTCCCTGGTCAAACATCCTTGGCACAGTACTTTCTCACATTTTAATATGCTTAGGAATCCTCTAGAGTATCTGTTAAAATGCAGATTTCAACTCAGGAGGCCTGGGCTCGCCATGAGTTCCTGCAATTTTGACTAGCTCCTAGGTGATGCTAATTCTGCTGTCCATGGACCGCACTTCCAATAGCTAGGCCTTAGAGTTTAAACATGCTTACTAGCCACACTGTATTCTATCGTGAAATTCCCGTCAACTCCGTACACTCTATTGCTAGCTGCCTCGATTTTCTGGCATCAATTAGCCTTGAAACAAGATTTGGACCCTGGGGGCTATAACACAGGAGGCACCCTAAGGGGCCACACTGACCCTCAAACATCCAGAGGTGGGTACGGCCCCACCTACGGTACCATTAAGTCTGGACTGTGTCCCGCATCGTCTCATAGGTCGCCTACTCTCAAGCCCACTTCCCAGGACTCAATTTCCCTGCCTGCAATTCCCGCTACGTCACCCCGCCGCCGCCGCCGCAGTCGCAGCCAAACCCCGGAGTGGACCTTGGGAACGTGCGCTCGAGCGGCGCACTAGGCATGCGCGAGCGGGCCCCGGGCCCGGCGCGTCCAGGATTCAGGTACCGCGCTGTGGCACCGCCAGCCACCGGTTCCCTCGCTACAGTGGCCCCTTGGAGGCTGCAGCCACCACTCGGGCCCACCCAGTGCCTTCGCCTCCCTGTGAACAGCGCGCCGCTCCACCGCACGGGGGCCCTGGCCGGCCGCGTCCTCACGTGCCGAGGCCGCCGCAGTGACCCCGCCCCCGGGCCGAGGATGTGAGGCTGGCCGGGTGTCCCCGCACCGGGCCCGGGCGCCGGGAGTCGGCGGCTCGGCAGCTCTGGGCGATGGCCCTGCTGCCGGTGCTCCTCGCCTCCTGGGGCCTGGGGCAGTGAGGGGGCCGGCGGGCGAAGGAAAACGGCCCCGGCGCGGCGGGGGCCAAGGGGCCGCGGGCGACATGGAGGGGGTGCTGTACAAGTGGACCAACTATCTGAGCGGTGAGTGGGGGGCGCGCCAGGCGCCGGGTCCTTTGTTTGAGCGGCGGGAGGGCGGCGTCGGACGCGCGTCCCCGGGGGTCGGGGTCACGACCTCTAGTGAAACCCGAGAGGCCTGCACGGGTCGGGGATACTTGCCCAAAGCCGTTCTCACGGGGCCGTGTCACCCATGCTGTAAGGACACAGTCCTCTGCTGGGGCTGGGTGAGGCCCATAACTGCCTTTTCGCTTCAAGGAAAGCTACAAAATACAGAGGTTTGGGGTGACTGGAAAGGCTCGATGCCCTCGGCGTCAGCGGGAAGGAGGCGCTGACTCCCGCAGTGGGGGTCTTCTAGGAGCCTATCGAATTCTGGCGAAGGAGCTGGTCTCATCAGCCCAGCAAGAGAGGTTGGAAGGTTTCCTATGAATGCTAGAGGTGACTTGGAATTCCAGAGGTGAAAGGTCCTTTTTCAAACAAAGTCCCCAGTGCAAACACTTTCCCTTTGTCACTTTCCGAGTCATCTGCGTGCGGACCAAGATATCAGAATTCCATCTCAATAGTTCAAAGCTCCAAAGTATGTACACGGTTTTTGCTTGTCTCACTTGAGCGTTCTTTTTGTTTTACAGACCCAGAAATTCCCACAAAATGAAACGGTAGCAACTGTTTTGTTGCACTGCTGAGCAGAATGGCTTAAAAATATACTCTGCCCCCTTTCCAATGTGTGGAAGTACCTTCCTTCATATCTTCTAAGGTCGTAACAATTCTCCAACCGTGAATATGATTTAGAACAAGCATATTTTCGTTTTTGCAACCAGTATTTCGTAAAAGCCTTCTGCATGCTAGCAACTGTGTTAGGCACCATTTTGGAATTAAACTTTATTATGGAAAAAGAGCTGGGCACTTTTAATTTTAATAGCAGTGTATTTGAAACCAGAGGTATTCCCAGTATCTCTTATAGTGGGAGAGATATATTTTCCCAGCCTTTGATAGAACAGGACAGTTAAAAAAAATTTCATTAATGTTTATTTATTTTTGAGAGAGAGAGAGAGAGAGAGAGCTCAAGCAGGGGAGGGGCAGAGAGAGAGAGGGAGACACAGAATCCGAAACAGGCTCTAGGCTAAGAGCTGTCAGCACACAGCCGGATGCAGTCTCCAACTAATGAACTGTGAGATCATGACCTGAACCGAAGTTGGCTGCTCAACCGACTGAGCCACCCAGGCGCCCCGGGACTGGACAGTTTTTTAAATGTTTTAGTGTGGTGATGCTCTAGGGTAGTTTAAGGACTCATGTGTCTGTGAGGATCAGTTGGCATATTGACTTTGATGAGGTTACACAGCACAGCCAAAAGTGCACCTGTTGGCTGTACCCAGAATCTCTTCCTTTTGCAGACTGTGGTTAGAGGTGAGTTGTTTATTTTCCTGATATTCATTAGTAAAGACTGAGTGAAGAAAGGTGTTTTAGAAGACCTGGCCTTGGCTTTTGAGGACTTTCTTTGATGTCAAATGGTTCAATTAGATGTGGGTAACTCGTGGCTGGGCTTTGGTGAATGTGCAAGGCTCATTAACACTCTACTAATCTAAAGGGAGCATGCTTGATCAGGTAATTTGTCTTTCAGGTATCTCCAAGTTCTGAGATATATGGATCTTAACCCCTTGAGTAAAATTTAGTGCCTGGTCTTTCACCCCTTTCCATCACACATGCTTTTTAACTTTTTTCTCTCATCCTGAACACTCTTCCTTCTTTTCTTCCATCCCCCTCCACTGCCTTTTTTTTTTTTCCCCTCACTTTTCTTACTCTCATCCTCCTTTATATAGAAAGTTTAGTCTGTGTGTATAGTACCTGCTTCCTGGTTGTTTTTTTTCCCCCTGACTGTTGTTATGTATTCTTCAATACAGCAAAATTTCTCTAGAAGGATCTTTTGGAATCTTTATCATGTGATGCCTGTACCATCTGTCTAGTTGGAAAAGAGTCTCCTTTTTTCTGCCCCAAGTAAGAGAAGTTAATTCTGCGATTGGTGCCAGGGTGGAAGCCCTAAAAACGGGAGCCTGGAGCCATTGCCAGAGGCAGCTGTCCTTATATCATGCTGCTTGTTCCCTTGACCCACATGCCACCTCGTTGTGGGCATAGTGTTCATAGAAGCCCATCACACCACCGGGTACTTTTACTGAATATACTTAGAATTATTTTTTAGCACACTGTCTTTCATCAGGAGATAAATTTACTTTGGAACGAAATGGTATAGCCTAGGAGGAACAAATGCATTCTCGTTTCTTCCACCCTCCTATGTGAGATAGTCTCCCAAAAGAACATAGTGTGACTGTTAATGACAAGCTTTGATGAAGACATTACTACTTTTTCTTCTTCTGATGCTTGTTTTTAAAAGTTACAGGAAAAAAATTTTTTTTTATGTTTATTTTTGAGAGACAGAAACAGAGCATAAGCAAGGGAGGGGCAGAGAGAGAGAGAGATACAGAATCCGAAGCAGGCTCCAGGCTGTGAGCTGTCAGCACAAAGCCCGACATGGGGCTTGAACTCACGTACCGTGAGATTGTGACCTGAACTGAAATCGGACGCTTAACTGACTGAGGCATCAAGCGCCCCTAAAAGTAACATGTTTTCAGGGTGCCTGGGTGGCTCAGTCGGTTAAGCGTCCAACTCTTATTTATTTTTTTTTAACATTTTATTTTGTTTTTTGAGAGACAGAGGACAGGCAGGAGAGGGGCAGGGAAAGAGGAAGACACAGAATCCAAAGCAGGCTCCAGGCTCTAAGTGGTCAGCAGAGGGCCCGATGTGGGGCTTGAACCCATGAACGTGAGATCATGACCTGAGCTGAAGTTGGATGCTCAACCAACTGAGCCACCCAGGTACGCCA